GTATGACAGTACCAAACACCGACCAAACTCACTACAAAACTTGAGGGTTCGAACTAGCGACAACTTGAATTAAGATCCACGGTTGTAATGACTCAGACCGCTCGGCACTCGTTGTAAGCATACCGTTGAAAGGGGTATATGTATATCGCTTTGCTTTGGCAAAGAGCAGAGCTGTATACTACTAAGCGCATACCCAGGTCACAGATAGAGGAACGGCCGCTAACTCGTGGTTGATTGTGAGTAAGGTGGATTCATTCTCTCTGAATAAGCGGTATCGGACGGTCACTGGCAATGCTCGAGGATGTGGCGGGNNCCCGCCACTGAGTACGACCATTGTCCCCTCGTCGAATTCCATCTACCCGACAAGGTCTTCCAGAGAAAGCGAATGAACCAACCGACCGGTCACCGGCTCATCCGGAAAAATACTGCTGCTTTGTAGCTCGCGCTTGGTTGCGCAAAGGCTAGAGTGCACCCTCAAAAGGCTACTCTGAACTGGGCGACCGGGTAGTACGATAAACAAAAAATGAACCTAAACTTAAGCAATAGTTCGCTCTTTCAGTTTACCTTCCATAAAAACAAACGCTTTACACAGTGCACATCTTAATTTTCAGTTTTCCCTCCACCTTACATTCACCCTCAAACAGTCCGACTGTTATCAGGATCTTCAGACAGTCGTACTACCAGATGTGCCCCCGATGAAAATTCCGTCCCTATTCTCTCGTGTCCTGCCTCGAATAGCTTCCAAGTCTCACTGAAAGTGCATGGTTAATAGTTGTACTAAGTGAAACCGAAACTGACGGATGCTAAAGTAGTAGGCCGACTGACTTTGAGTGAAACGCATCTGAGTGGTCCTTTCGGACTAGATTCGTGTCGCTCGGAAAACGGGGAACGTCTGTTGGCTCTATGTTCTGACCACCGCCTATTCCTCGCCAGTACGAACTTTAGACACTTCAGCTGCGGATACGCTACTTGGCGTCCACCCTTCTAGAGCCAGCGACAAATGCAGTTCGACCACATCGCTATAAACCGATCGTACTGGCGCACTCCCCTCGAATCCGATCACGCGTTAGTTTGCACCAAGCTATCCATATACTTCGGGAGGGGAAGGGGGGGGAAGGGGGCGTTCTGAACGCACGACCCAGCGGCGGTCAGCCTACGAAAAGTTTTCTCAACCAGCTTGCTTAGATGTCTTTCAGAACGCGCTAGCTGAAAAGCCAGAACCAACCCCATCTGATAACACCAGTGAGCACTGGTCGCTTATCGAGAATGCTTTGCATTCTTCTGGCTTAGCTAGTTGTGGTCCGACACGTCTTGTCGTAACACTGAATTTCCGCTGAGCCTCAGCACCTTCTTGACGCACGTCGGTCACTTCGAACCGGCAGGGAACATAACGTAACATGGCTTGTAACGAGACGTGAACTTAACGTAAGTCTACACAGAGATCGCGAAATCTGGTGGACTCAACGCGCATCAGAGATGGGACGTGCTGCCGCCATGGGAAATTCCCGTAAGCTGTTCCATCTCATCTGAGTCACCGGTTGGAAACGATCTGCGAAGCTGACGGTTCGTGTATTCATAATCAACAGCGACGTCTTAAACGCTGGGCGGAGCAATTCAAAGCACACTTAAGCTGGCCACCAGCGTCAGCTTCTCACACAGCTATTCCGGCACATGCCCCATGGTCGTTCTCAACTGACCCACCTTCTGAGGCGGAAATCCGTAAGGAGATCCAAGCCTTGGAACGTCACAAAGCGCCGGGCTCCGATGGCGTTCCCCACCTCTATTTAAAGGTGATGGAATAATGCCTGTTAGAGAACTACTGGTTCTGTTCTCTAAGTTTGGAATCCCGAGCAGGTCTCCTACTCGTGGGTGAAGCGATTGTCGTCTCCATCTTCAAAAAGAGCTCGCGCAGTGATTGCGCCAATCATAGGGGTGTAAGCCTGATCCCGATAGCGTCAAAGCTGTTAGCGTCCATCATTCTTCTTGGATTGTATAAGACGCGTGAGGAACATGCCCGCGAGAAGCAGGCTGGGTTTTCGCGCTGGTCGTGGCTGCATCGATCAAATCGTTACCCTTTGTCAGTTGCTAGAGCACCGTCATGCTTACCGTAGACCAACGATCATTGTGTCCTTAGACATTCGCGCGGCCTTCGATTCTATTGATAGGACCGCACTATGGAGGTTTTTGTTGATGAATGGAGTATCAGAGAAGCGTGTCGATCCTCAAAGAGTTGTATCGTCATACCTCAGGTCGAGTTAGGGTTTATGACCAGCTTTTGCCAGCCTTCGTTGTGGAGTTCGACAAGGTGGCCCTATATCCCCATTCCTCTTCAAATTCTCCATAGAGGATGTTCTGCGGGTCGCTTTGTCCGGTTTTGCAAATGGTGGAGTCGAACTCCTCCCAGAGTTCTTGACTTAAAATATGCCGATGACGTCGCCTTTTTGGGTGACAATGCACAGGCAGTCCAGCACGCTTTACACTGCTTGGAGAAAGAGGTATCCAGGTATGGTATATGCTTTGTACCATCCAACTACATAGTGCCTATTCAAGACTGGCAGGAGCCTGTGCCTTCATTTTCTGGCGATCAGATCGGAATGGTCGAGAGCTTTAAGTACCGCAGGAGCTTAATCATAGCTGGAAGCGGGGTTAGGGAAGAAATCACATCCCAATTAACGAAGGCTAGAGCAACTTTTGCCAACCTGCGACACCTGCTGCGCCGCCATGACATCTGACTGTCTCTTAAAGGAAGGGTGAACATCGCCGCGGTTCGTAGTGTTCTGTTTTGCAGTTGCGAAACCTGGCCTCTCCGAGCAGAGGATGCTGATCGACTTTCCGTATTCGATCACCGATGCCTTCGAAGCATCGCTCGTGTCTGGTTGGAACATCAGA